TTTTAACAGTAGCTACTGTTCAAGTTTATTTGGAATTGTAGTTGCACTGTTCATGGGTAGATATTTTTACATTATATGGTAATGTACACTATATATATATAATGTAGCTCAATCAATATTCACAAACTCAACACTAGGGCTAGGAGAAGGGTGAATCAAACAAGAAGCCTTGTTTTAAGGCTACTTTCAGGCACCAAAGTAAGAGCATTCTTAAATTGTGTTCCCTGGGTATCTTGCCACACCCTGTCCCCACCCTACTGGATAAACATGTAACATTAGCAATCAGGTCCAAACAAAGAATACTACCAGTTTCCCCAGAGATCCAATCTTACTTCGCAGTAACTATTCTTTTCAGCAAGAATATCACCAACCCAACTTCTACTACCACTGTTTTTTTTTCTCCTCTTTATTTTACAGATGTGGAATAGAATATAGACTATCTTCTCAATCAACATTGTAAGATAGGGGCTGAGGAGATGGCTCAGTGGAATAAGCACTTCCCTGGCAAATGCAACACCCTGAGTTCAATCCCTAGTTCTGCCAAAACAAAAAAAATTATAAGAATTTTTTTCATATTTCTTCATATTGTACCATTCTCACAATTTATCCACTCTATTGTTGATGTACATTTGGGTACTTTCCAGTTTTTGACTATTATGAACAATACAACTTGGACCATTCTGAAATACGTGTTTAATGAAATATGTAAATATTTTTGCTGGGAATGGAATCACTGGGAATATTACTTGGTAAAAGGGTTGCATGTACATTTAGTTTTAATAGCTACCACAAAGTAGTTTCTAGAGCAGTTATGCCAATTTACATTCCTATTAGTAATATATAAGAGCTGTAGTTGCCTCATGTTCTTACCTCACCAATTCTTGTCATTTTTCATCTTTTTAAATTTTAGGCATTCTTGGTCAGTATGTCATTTTAGTCTTAATTTACATTTTCTGATGATTAACATCTTTTAATGTGGTTACAGATCATGTTGAATATTTTGTGAAGTTATCTACTCAAATTGTTGGCCATTTGTTCTATTGGATTATCTGATTTGTAGGAGGTTTGTGCTCTGCATATTAGTCCTTTGTCAGATATGGGTACCGTAGTCCCTTGCTATTTTGCAGTTTGACTGTTGAAGACTCACTATTTCATGGGTTTTCAAAAAAATATTAATCTAAACTATTTATTGCAGATTTTTCACTGTATTTCAGGATTTTGCTGTAGTGTACAGTACTGTAGATGTATTTACATGCGTAGCACTTATGGTTTTAATGATTTTTGCCTAAAAAAATTTAAATCCTTTTTTTTTAAATGTATTTGGTACAGAGTCTCACTGCAGCTCCAACTCGAAGGGGTGTGTCGTCACACCTGGTCTTGGTGAACCACTCAGTATGCAGGGGGCGGGGCCAGCACAGCCTGTGGTGCTGGGATTGAAGCCCTGTCCCTGTATTTGCCTAAGCAGGCCTTATTCTGCTGAGCTATCTCACCAGCCCCTAAATTTTTTTTAAATATATAAAAATATATTTAAAGTGTTAATTCTAATATAACATTGCTGCTTCACTGACTTTCACTTATGACAGGGCTGTTTGGAATGTAACCTCCACAATAAGTGAGGGAACACTGTAGAGTGCATAGCTTCAGCCTTATAAGTTGCCTTTTACTCTATTAGATGTTTTATGAACAATAGTTCTTATGTCTGATATGGTTTGTTTTATCAGTCTTTTCAGCTGTATGCAGCAATTTGGGTTACAACTTCAAATTTTTTTGTTTACTCCAAAGTTTACAAAGATGTACTTTGTGTATTTTCTAAAAAGGAAAAAATAACTACAGAAATGGATGAGTATTGTTTT